CTATGCTACATTCATGTGAGGCTTATAGAATCGGAAGAAATAAAAACCACTTGTTCATTAAGGAAAGTTCACTCAGAATTATTCAAGTTATATACGCACGTATCCTTATGCCATTATGTCAGTAATTTCTTTTCTGAAACCTGTAAAATAACCCTTTGAAAACATGAAACACTAAAAACCTAACATTTTCTGGTTCATAACAAGACATTCCTTTTTATATACATGTAATACTAAGAATGGTACAGAAATTTTTTGTCATATTTCTTTCACGTCAGCTGATTTAAATTTGAAGTATTTTCTTCATATCAATAATCAAACTACTGAAAGCACCATAAAAATGTAAAATGTCATAACTACAGTTCTGTGAAAAGAAATAAATCAAGTTGTTAAATCTATTCCTACTCTTTTTAAGAAGTACTTTAAAAGTTTGTATTGTAATTTCAGACTTAACAAACAGAGGCAAAAACAATACAAAGAGTTCAAGGATACCTCTTACCCAGGCTACCCTAGTGATTGGTTTTTATTTTAAGAGTAACTTCTTTTCTTTTTTAAAGTTCATGCATGTATTTCTTACATGAGGGAGGAAAAAAGCAGTAACTCCAACAGGGGCCTGATATAATGACCCAGGCCCAGACTCAGCTAGTCTGGAATCCCTGGTACAGCACTTGCCCATAACACTCAGGGAGGTCTCCAGACACAAACCTGGAACCTTTCCATGTGAGTCAGCTCTCAAAGTATCACATTTTACCACTGTGCCACCTTCTGGCCCCTTGATTCTGAATGTTAACACCTTACATAACCAGGGTAAAATGACAAAAATGAAGAAATTCACATTGATAGATGGTAAACTACAAACTTCATTCAGATTTCAGCTGTTTTCCCGTGAATGTCCTTAAGAAATAATTCTGAAAAATAAACGTCTCCACAAGAGTCCCAGATCACACAGTTATGTTAAGGTTTAATCTCTTTCAAATACTGCAGTTGAAACAAAAGTACAAGTCTGTATTTCTATTTTTGTGAACCAAAGCTTACTCAACAGAACTTAACACAACAGTCTCTAAATTATAATGTAAAACTAAACACTTCACTGTATATGTCACAACTTGGCTTTTAAGAAACTGGGTCAAAGAGAAATAACTTGCCAACTCTTTGGCATCTCACCATGGAAAAGAGAATTTTAAGCAGAAGCAAAATGACTTAACTTTCTCCCTCATCTCTTACTTACATATCTTTTTACGAAAGTTATTTTTTAACATTAAAAGCCTAAAAGACAGAAGCTGGACCTCTGCTATTTTGCCAAACAAATTGGAGATTGTAAAGATGGAAAAGAATTTTTTAAATGAAATGTTTGTCCCAATGGGCAAAAACCTATTTATTTTCTCTTCCAATAAGTTTAACACTCTATTTCTGATGTCAGGTATCCAAATTATATGTAGTTCAACTTCCAAAATGATTAACAAACAATCTTTTAACAATTCTAAACTCAGTCCAAAAGAGGATAACACCATAGAAGAGGAATAGCAGAGTGTTTAGTGAGTAAATCTCAGTACACAAAAAACCTCCACAGATGACATAAACCCCGTGATTCAGTGGCACTGGGTGGCATAGAGAACCGAGTGGAAAATACAAGCCAAATTTAACTTTGAATAATTACTCCTCTCCCTAGCTTTAATATCAGTAAATCTGCACATAATTTTCGAATGTTTAAAATAATGAATATTCACATTAGAAATTTACTAATAAGTACTGAGTACCCATTAGGACTAAGGCTCTCTGTTAACTGGTCTATGGGAAACCAAGACAAAAAGAATTGACTTGGGACTCAAGGAGCTTGAGTCTAGTTCCTCCCTCTCTAAAACATTCCCAGGTCAGGTGAAAAGCAGCCAATCACTGCCAGAAAAATCATTTAAAAAGAAGTGTCAGGTCAGTGTCCTTCACAGCATCAGAATTAACTTTCCCAACATACCAAAAAAAAAAAAAAAGAAGGAAAGAAAGAAAAAAAGACTTTGGCAGGCCATTAAGTACATCAGACTTGTTCTACCTAAAATGCAAAGTGGAGCTAAAAAGATAAAAATATGTAGTGAACTGCAACATATGTGATCCTTGCACATGTGAAAGTTACCAACTTCAAATTTCTAAAATCTCAATGCTACTAAGCAATCGTTTGGGTACAACCTTTATTTTCCCTTTACCCATTAATGTACCAGGATAAATTTCCTTTTATAAAAAATAAGAACACTTTAGTTAATGTACAATAAATCAGAAAGAAAAATACACACAATATTCAAAAAGTTGTGGAAACTGTCTTGTGAAAAAACTATGCATGAGTTTCAAAACATTTTATATCAAAATCAACCTGTAATTTAATTCTAATTTTCCATGAATGTTTTGAAGTACCCTCATATTTTGGTCAAAAGAAAAACCTGGTTGCATTATAGTGAAAGCCAGTTTGGGTTTGACTAATCATTTAAACAAGCCTTTACAAAGGCATGGGTCAGTACCACCAGGCTGAAATCCTTTGTACTGATGAGAAACCCATGGTTTAAATAAGCTATAAAAAAATACTTGTTTGCACTCCCTTGCCCACAATTTCAATATCTGTCCAGATGAGATTTGACACAGCTTAATTTTAAACAAATCCCAGGCATGGAGTCAAAGATCTTAATAAAGAGAAAACTATCACTAAGGCCCTACTTGGCCTCTAATACTAAGGCTCCCAATCTGGCGAGGACTACTCTATTATTCACTAACAAGCACACAAGCCAAAATCAGCATCAATTTTACATCAGACACCGGGGCATCATTCTGCTGTGTGCCCTGGAGCAGGTGCGATTACCAGACAGTTAAATATCAAACTTGGGGAAAGGGTATGTCTCAAATGAAGTTGATGGTTTTGTTTCAAAGCGCAGAGCAATGGACTACAAGCTCCACTCTATCTTCGTAGCCAACTGTGGTCAAGGGTCCCACAACTCAGCAACACAAGAAACAACCCAAGTGCCTGCGTGTACAGAGGACCAACAGCCAATGATCTCTAACTCCAAGAAAGCAAAAATTTATGTTTCCACGCGCCGGAGGGCAAAATGTCTTTAATGTTTAAAACATGTTTTTTACTGTTGGTTCAAGTTCACTTAATCAAACTTAAAAAAAAAAAAAAAAACTTAACACATTTCTCCCAAATAAATCTAGAGACCTATTTTGCAATTCAAGTTTAAGGCCAAATAGCAGGCTTTATAAATTATTATTAAAGGACAAAGAAGAAAGGCCACTGTCACCATTGTATGTGGTCCTTAATTAAGCTAATTTAATAAACACGAGGGTGTGTACAATTGTGCCAGCGTTTGCTGTTCATCCACAAGTGTCTCTCAATGGGAGAGCCGGGGGGTAAGCCTGGGAGGTAAGTCTGTGACACCATGACAGGTTCCGGTCCCACGCTGGACCCCCGACTCCAGTCCCTAAATCCTCTGCACGAGGGGCTCCTGTCGGCTCAGCACGCCCCGCGCCTGTGCAAGCACGTACGTTCGCCTGCACACTGTCAGTCCTCTCCTTCCCACCTGGGACCCTGGGCAGTCGGTGGGGTTAACAAGTTGCAGCTGGCCGCGGCGCTCCGCTAGGGGGCCGAGGGTAGGGAGCGGAGCCTGCCCCTGCGCGGGACCACAGCTTAACCCGCCCGGGACCTGCCGGCTCCTCCGCGGCCGCCGGCTCCTCCCGCTAGACCAACAACGTTTGCCTTGGATCTCCCGGGGCGCCGCGGAGATCTGTGAGGTCGCCGGACGCGCCGGACAGGGGTGGGCGGCAGGGAGGGCAGGGTGCAGCGAAGTCGCTGCAGCCGGGTCCCGTGATCGCAGCCCACTACCGGAGGCCGGGCGGGCCGCGACTCGGGGTCAGGAGGGACAGCGCAGCGCCTACGCTCGGCAGCCCGGCGGCTGCAGCTGGGAACTTCAAGCAAAGTTTTCTGTTGTTCCCTTTGCAACCGGCCAGGGACTCGGAGGGGCAGGCGCCCCCACCCCCGCCC